ATCTATCATAACCTCAGGTAAAACACCATTCTTGCTACAATTTTAAATGGATTTTTGTACAGGATGTAGCAAACGATGAAAGAGAATCTGTCATTTCTTTCCTGTATGGAGTATAAGGTGCAGATCACATAGATTTTTGTGATCCAAAAATTTGAATTTGGTTGTATTTGAACCTCCGCCATACCTGTTTTGGACCCTGAAAAATTAGTAGAAAGAAAAGAGGACTTTAACTTTGTTAAAAGTTTAGAAGCCCCACCAAATAGTTACTAGGACTGCTGTTTTTCAACTGCGGATCTCTCCCTTTATAAATTAACTCTTAGAATATACTGGTCTTCAATAAAGTTAACCTAATGAGGATATATAGTCTGGCACAGACTTTGGAAGTTAACAAAGGTAAACTCTCTAAGCATTACTGATTCCTTGCAATTCCTTTGAAAAGCCTCCTTTGGGTCATCTCACACATCTAGAATCCTAACTGGAACAATGTCATATGAATGCAGATTTCAAGAAGTGCTAACGTGTAGTATCTTGGAGATCTCTCTTCAAAAATATGTTCCAACAGACTTTTTCTTTTCATTTGCAAAGAGCTATGAGGAATGAAAAATGGTAATAATCTAAAACTTAGAGAGTTTTAAAGAACTGCAGATGTAATTAATTGTTTAAGGTAGAATTTCTTTTACCCTGGAAACCTTGTCCATGTTATTGATTAATCACATGTACTTTCTCAATGGTATTCATGGGTGTCTCAACTGATCCTTTATTGTTGCAGTTATTTTAAATGATTTAACTTGAAATTAGTGCCCTAAGACATTTTAGTTCAGATAGAAATCCTCACTTAAAGGAAAAAAAGGACTACAATAACAAGAGGACCACTAGAGTAACATATAAATATATATATATATATAAAACATATATAACATATATAGGTATGTTTTTGACATGATAATGTAGTGGCATTGAGAATGAAAACTTTGATATTACTAGTTTTAAACACCCTATCTTTGAAAATTTAGTAAACCTACTTTTCTGTGCTCACTGCATAGTCTTCTAGAATGTTGAACATTCTAATAAGTAAAAGTATAATTATGATGTGTCCTATTTATATGCTCTCATATACATTTAGAGCATTAGTCCTGGGAAGGGTATCATCAGTGAATTTGTCTTTCATGTTTTAATTTTAATTTTAGGTACCAAAACATTTTTTCTCTCTTTTGATAACATTAAGATTACTATGAATTTTGAGGAATAATAATAAACCCAATGGAGAGAAAATCTTTTCTATGAACAGATGGCTTTTGATATATCAAGGTTTTGCCATTTATTTTAGTGCTTAAAGTAAACATTATTTATAAGACCGCTTACATTTTGATGTTACTTAATGAGGAATATGCATCATTGATTTGACTAGCTTAAGAGGTCATTTAGAACTTGCCCGTTAACAAGCTGTAATCTGCTGAGCACGCAATGACTTTGTTTAAAATTATCTATTCAGAGCTGATCAATGACAATAATTGTTTTATACCAATCACTTCTGAAAGTTGCTAATTACTTTGAAGGACATGAATACTAGCCCGTTTTTTGGAAGTCGTAACCCACTCACCTTGAAGTTATCAAAAGTCATTTTGTTATCAAAAGTCATTTTGCCTCTTGAAAGTACTTTGTTTTAAAAAAAAATTAAGTTTATTCACTAGTACTGGGATATCAACAGGAAACAGGCAAAATTTAAGATGTCGTTTGTTCCTATAACAGGAAGTATGGTAGAATCTCAGCTATTTGTATCTTATATCAATTAGATACTGGTTAAACTGGGCTCCCTATAATGTAAGAAAATCGTGTGTTTTATATTAAAGAGCATTGCACACACTCTTTCTCTTTATACAGTGCATCCCTCAGATGTTTTAGTGGGAAAAGCCTGGGCTTTGGAATAAGACAGAGCTGGGTTTGTGTCCTGGCTCTGTCATTTACTCTTTTACTTGTATTGCTGTGACCTTAATCAAGTTATTAACCTCAGTTTCTTCATTGTTAACATGGAGATCATGCCCTCTTCACAAGGTTACCATGAGGATTAAAGCAGTTAGCCTAATACCCGGCACGTTCATGGAGTTCAGTAAATTTTAGATTCTTTACTTCACTGGATGGTGGCATCTTCACCCACTCACACGCGCAGCTTCTTCCAGCTGTTTTCACTCACTCCCCTCTAACAAAGGCATTGAAACGTTGATTGTTATACTTCAGTGTGGATGAGTTTTAATTTGTTATCTTAACCATCCCTTAACCTGTTATGAGCTTTAATACCCAGTTGTGAATACCAGGATTTGTCTTGGAACGGAATCGTAGCATGCTTTGGGGTAGATGTTTAAGGAGTTGGTGCATTAGAAGACTGTCTGAGAGCTTAATGGTGGACTCTGAGGGTGTGGTTAGTGCTGTTTCTTCAGTTGCTCAGTGTGGAGTGGGAGGGAGCCCATGCCATTGGCCTCTGTCAGTTCCCTTCCTACTGGCACAGATTTTTCAGCCAGTTTCAGAGTTTGCCCTTTCAACTTCTTTTCTCCAAGTGGGCATCTCCACTACTCTGCCATGACCTAATCATAAACCACCATCCTCCGTCTTTCCTTCTCAGTACTTCAGCATGCATCTTTTACGTTTTCTGGCACATTTAATCTTATTTTATTTAAAATTCAGTGGTGTTTTCAGGTAATAGGTAGTCCATCCCTTAACAGTATTTGATATCCTAATATTTTCCCATGCTTCCTGAGTCACTTCTATTGCCGATGATGGATTTTCTATCAGTAGTTTTGTTTACAACTGTTCCTGTCTTTAATACAATTAATACTGTATACGCAATAAAAGTAAGCTGAAATTCATGTGAAGCCACCCAACCAGCTGTATGACCCAAGGCATTTATTTAAGCTCTCTAAGTGTCAATTTCCTCTTTTATCAAAGAAGGCTAATAATAACCTCTACTTCAGAATGATACTGTAATGATTAAATTAAATAAGCCAGGAAAATAGTCATTATTCACATGTATAATTTATATATATATATATATATATATATACACATAGTACAATTGGTTATTCTTTTTCATTAGGAAAATGGTTTTTGTATCAATTCCTCCTCTCTCTTTGCCAGCCATAATACAGTTTTGGTCAAATTAGAGGGAGGTAGTTTCTAAACTGAGTATAGAACTTTAGAAAAATTAATTTTTCTTTATTTAAATAATTAAGCTCTAAATTAAGATCATTTGAAAAATATTTAGAAAGACACATTCTATAACATCGTTACACTAGCTTGTTATTCTACTTAGTTTTACTTTGCAGAATTAATTTCTCTGATTTAATTTTTCTTATAATAAGAACAGTAAGATAAGTGGTTTTGCATAACTTCAGTTATTTTAGTCATTCTCATATTGGGAGGTTGACTGAAACATTTCTTCAAAGTCTTCACATTTAATATTTTAGATTGTAAAATACCTTTTAAATGGCCATATTTTACAACAGAGAAAAATAAGGGCTCATAATTCAAGTAAAATATTTTTCCTGTTTATTCTTATAGATCCAGCATTCAAGGTTATAAAAATTCTAAACTCAGCATATTTAGTAAAAAAAATCATAGGCTTTTGGGATAAAACCCAATGGACTGAGGCTCATTCTCTTATTAATTACTTTTTCCTGTGAAAAAATAAATTTTAAAGATGTGTGTTCCTAGCCTAGCTAACTTTGCAAAACATTGGAAGGACTTCATATCCAGAAAAAGAATCGTTCATAGTATGTGAATAATTCATAAATATATGGAAACTGCTGGAAAATTTTAGAGAATGAAGTGAAGTCTTTATACAAGGCTAAGTTACCATTTTTTTCTATTTTTTCTATTTCTTCTTCTTCTACTCCTTTAAAGAAGTTGAGTTTTTTTTGGTTTTCCACAAAATTAGGATCTATACATTATAATTTTTGTTTTGAGTTTTTCTAATAGAGGTTGTATTAGCAAAAATAGAGCTTAAAGAGATTGATTCTTCTTATGATTACTGGGGCTTTTAAGGCATCTAGTAGCCCACTTAAGTATGTTTTCTTAGACACCAACACTCCTCTCATCTCAAAAGAGAAAAAAAGATACTTTCAACAGAAATATTTGTTCATTGAAAATTGCAGTTCACTTTGTTCACAGTTCTATATTGCAATGGTTTAGAGAATGGGCCCCCTGAGTCCTAATTTGATTCCTGAATCCATCACTAATAGCTGAGTAATTACGGGAAAATTGAATAACTTCTCTTTTCAGCAGTTTTCTCATCTGTAAATATCTCATAGAAATGTTCTAATGATTAAATGCGTACATACAAACAAAACCCTTAGAATAGTGCCTCACACATAATAAGAGCTCAATAAATGTTACCTACTGTTATTATTAAAGAAGTATTAAAATGTCATGATGAAGGTACAAGACAACATTTTGTTTAAAGATTTTGATAGCACTGAATTTTAAAAGCCCATTAAAGGGAGTTCCTTAGCAGTCCAGTGGTTAGGACTCGGTGGTTTCTCTGCCATGGCCCCGGGTTCAATCCCTGGTCAGGGAACTAAGATCCTGTAAGCCACATGGTGTGGCCAAAAAAAAAAAGTCCATTAAAAACATTGATTTCAATGAGATGAAATACAATCTTCAAGCCCGTTGGTTATGAAAAACAAAAAATTTGTTTGGTCAGGAAGCAGAAGAGTTAGGAATTGGTAGAGCAAATTTTTGATCTTTCAATAATTAATTTCACATTTAGTATTTGTAAAACAATGATAAATATTATAAAAAATTATAGTAACCTAGAGTATGTTCTTGTCTTTATAATATTTTATAATAAATCTATGAGTACAACCTATATTTGCAACTGTTATATTAGCGGAAAAGCCTAAGACTTTATTTGATAGGAGTGATCATCATTACCTTGATTTTGAAGAATTATTAATGTTTTCACTAAAAATGTTCACTGGCATATTTCATCTTTTTATTTAATTCAATAGATTCAGAGGCGATGGCGAGGCTATAAGATTCGGAAATACTGCTTTAATTATTTTTATTTGAAGGAGTACCTGAAAGCTGTTTCAGAGACCAATGATGCAGTTAGGTGAGTAGTATAGTCACTAGCCTACTTGTCACAGTTTTATAAAGGTTACTCCATAGATGTTGATCATTATCAGACTTAGGAATACTCTCTAAAACGAAGTGATATTTTAGGCAGAAATTTATTGATAAGATAGAGATATCTGATTCTCTTTAACAATTTGAGGCTGTTGTATTTTTAAATGTCTTGTACTCTTGACTGTAAATTAGATTATTCATGTGTGTAGTAGACCTACCTTGACACTATGCAAATAGCTTAGTTTCAGTAAAATTGCCTCATTTTGAGATGGATTTATCTGTAAAAGGATTACATAGATGAAGGCTTAAGTATGACAATCCTCAGAACATGTTCATCGGCAAGAACTTGCCTCTCAAAGAAGAAAACATTATGGAACACATTAAAATGGACTGTTTTACTGTCGGTTTTTATTTCTGTAAACACATAGAAAGATAACACCCGGATTTAGGCCTTAGGGCGATGTCTTCTGTAGATTTAAAGTTATTGCAGCACTATTCATTCAGCTTTACCAAAGCTCTATGTACTAAGTTTTCATATTACTTCAAAAATCGCTAGTCTTGGGCTTCCCTGGTGGCACAGTGGTTGAGGGTCTGCCTACCGATGCAGGGGACACGGGTTCGTGCCCCGGTCCGGGAAGATCCCACATGCCGCGGAGCGGCTGGGACCGTGAGCCATGGCCGCTGAGCCTGCACGTCCGGAGCCTGTGCTCCGCAACGGGAGAGGCCGCAACAGTGAGAGGCCCGCGTACCGCAAAAAAAAAAAAAAAAAAAAAAAAAGCTAGTCTTCTCCTCTTGTAATATTGCCCCATTCCAATAACATATAAGTGACGTATGCTTATAATAGATTTCAATAAAAAGGAAATAGTGACGAATCATAGTTGACATTTACATAATAGTTTTACTTTCAGTTTTCACATACATTATCTCGTTTTACTCTTAACGTTTTTTGAACTAGAGAGAACAATCGACATTAAGTTGTTAAGACAAAGGTGTTGTCTGAGACCCTAAAATTATATATATATATATCATAAGAAATGTCTAAAAACTGACTTCCCCACTTTTAACTTTCTCGCATATGTTGTGTGTATAAAAGAGTCTGGTCTTTGGAGATTGAGTATGGGGAATTTGTAAAGTTGATTTCCTTGGAAATGGCAATGAAGACTTGGGGAAGCTGGAATAGGATTTAGTTAATGAGAAAAGTTGGAACACTCAGAAACATGTGGGCCACAGGGGCTGCTATTTACTTTCTTCCTAAGAAATCCAAAGTTCTCTTGATGGGCTGGCTGGCTGTAAATGGCAGGCTTGAGCTTGTCAGGAGGAAAGAGTTAGTGGAAGATGCAAGAGGGAGAATTTGAGTAGGACTGGGCCTAGTGTGAGGCAAGGGAGACTCTTAAGGCACAGAAGTTAAGGAGGCGCTCACTGCCAGGGTCATGCAGCTGCCGACCCTGCACTTTCCCAGCCTTGAGAGTGTATCCTTAAATTTTACATTTTAGAGGCCTCACTTGCTTCATCCAAGTCCTATGCCTGAATAGGAGAAGGTTCTCAAAGAGACAAACACGTGGAAGGTGGTTTTAGAAAGGCCTGTTTCTTCTGTTCAACAGATATTTCCATTTATCCTTGTTTTGTTCCTGATTTTACTGGGAATATGTCTAGCCACTAGAGAGTCTGGTGTATCTGTGCTGACAATTTGGTTTAGCCTGGTATTCTTTATCATATTACAGACTTATTCTTTTTACTTCTACCTCTCTTAGAGGTCATATATTTTTCAGGTGTATATTCTCCATCAGTGATTAATTTCCTAATTGTTTACCCCCTCTTTGTTCTTGTATTTATTCCTAGACTGTTTGTAGTTCCTTTGCTATTATTATCATTGTTGTTATTTTTATCTTGGAATGGGGTATTGTAAAACGACAGTGTTGGGGAAGGGCTAGGGCTGTGCTCTGGGGGTGGTAGGAACATGGTGCATGGAACATGATGGAAGGATTGGCTAGGGATAAATCCTGCAGGGACCATAACATACCAGGGCATTTTAGGCCATATTAAAGCTTGCAGTGGACTTCCTTTTTAAGGAGAGCAGCAACATGATTACACCTATGTTTTGGCATGCATGTTCAATTGCATTTTTCATAATAGTCATATTTAAATAGTCTGGTACATTAAAAAAATATCTATTAGGGTATTAATTTTACTGAAATAAAGTGTTTTCTTCTTTCTCATGGCAGAATATGCAACACATCTGTTTGGATTGTTTCTTCATGTTTCTTTATCCTATTTTCCATTGAAAATCATTGGAATCAGGACTCTAGTTACCTTTTCCTTCATAACAAATTCCACCCAAAGCAGCTTAAAACAATACATGCTTATTATCTCATCATTTTATCTATCAGGAATCTGGGAGGGCTTTGCTCTGTGCCTGGGCCAAGGTCTCTCATGAGGTTGCCATCTGGCTCTCAGCCAGAGCTGCCGTCTCATATGGAGGCTCGACTGGGGGAAGATCCACTTCTAAGCTCACTCACATCGGCCTCAGTTCCTCCGGCCATTGGCCACTGGCATACCTCAGTTTCTTGTCACGTGGACCTCTCCATAGGACAGCTTATAACATGGAAATTGGCTTCCTTCAGAGCAACTGAACCAGAGAACAGGAGAAAACATCCAAGATGGAAGCCATATCCTTTTGGTAACCTAATATCAGAAGTGACATCTTATCACTTTTGCTGTATCCTATTCATTTAAAGCAAGAGACTAGGTTCATCCCACACTCAAAGGGGAGGATCACACAAGGGGATGACTTCTGGAGTGGGGATCGTTGGAGGCCACCTTAGAGGATACTTTCCATGTACAGTGACTTGCATATAGTATTTGTTCAATAAGCACGTTGATTTTCAGCATTTGCCTAGGACAAAAGTTACTTTACATTAACTTAAGGCAATTTTTTTTAACATCTTTATTGGAGTATGATTGCTTTACAATGGTGTGTTAGTTTCTGCTGTATAACAAAGTGAATCAGCTATACGTATACTTATATCCCCATATCTCCTCCCTCTTGCGTCTCCCTCCCACCCTCCGTATCCCACCCCTCTAGGTGGTCACTAAGCACCGAGCTGATCTCCCTGTGCTATGCGGCTGCTTCCCACTAGCTATCTGTTTTACATTTGGTAGTATTTATAACCCCATGCCACTCTCTCACTTCGTCCCAGCTTACCCTTCCCCCTCCCCGTGTCCTCAAAAAAAAAAAATGGTTCTGAAGAACCTAGGGGCAGGACAGGCATAAAGACGCAGATGTAGAGAAAGGCAATATTTTTATGTGATGTCTTTTCAAGATTATGTTTCAAACTTTAATATTGTATCCAAGCAATTATGATGTATCCTAATTACTTCTACCAGCAAGCATTAAAATGTGTAGTTTCTGGATTTCAAAGAACATATGAAAGATCTAGTGCATTCCTCTGTCTTTGGACAGGATAAAATCATTTACAGAAAATAAATTAGTAAAATATATTTTATATCAGAATACGTTTTGCACTAGAATTGTGTTGCACAATTCAAGGCCAGACAACACTGGGCTTAACTTTAGCTTATCTGCTCTTTCATTAATAGAAATAGTTTATCTATTCTATAGTTAATAGTAAAAAACTATATATATATATATGTATATATATATATATACATATACACACACAAGGATATATTCTTTAACCAAGAGTGGACTTATGACAAAGCTAAATGGAATTGATTAATTTAAGGCTGAGTCTGCATTTGGTAGACAAGTTTCTTTGTAATATCTAGCTTGATATGCAAAAATTGCTCCAGGTTATGAATGAGAAAATTATATAATGAAATTAAAAAATAGCTACAGAGTTACAGATTAGTAGCTTTAATAAAACATTATTAGCTTGAAGTGCAGAAAACTGACTTTTTTTTTGGACAGAAATTCAAGCTAAAAGTAATATATTCCCCCAAGTTTAATGCTTCAGTGTAGTTGTTGGTTGTTAATAGTGCATAACAATAGGTCTGTTTTGAGTGTAAATTTGTCATTCATCAAAGCAAATTAGTTTTTCAGCATGTTGATTTTGTGTAGCCCTGGTTTGGCTAGAAAGATTTTTATGGGTATAATTCTTTACCTGTCTTTGCATACATCAGCAAAGGTTTTTTTAAAGGATATATTTGTTTATTTTGTTTTTTCTGTAACAGCTTTATTGAGATGTAATTCACATACCATACAGTTTATCCATTTAAAATGTACAATTCTGTGGAGGTTAGCATTGATATATTCACAAAGTTGTACAACCATCGCCACAATCAATTTAAAACAGTTTCATCATCATAAAAAGAAATCCTATACCCTTTCCAGTCACTCCCCCACCCCTACCATTCTTCCCATTCCTGCCCAGTCCTAGGCAACCCCTAATCTACTTTCTGTCTCTGTAGATTTGCCTATTCTGGACGTTGCAAATAAATTGAATCTTATCATATGTGATCTTTTGTGACTGATTTCTTTCCCCTAGCCCGATGTTTTCAAGGTTTATCCATTTTGTAGCATATATTAGTACTATATTCCTTTTTCCTACCAACTAATATTCCATTTTATGGATAAGCCGCATGTTATTTATCCATTTACCAGTTGATGAACATTTGAGTTGTTTCTGCTTTTTGACTATTATGAATGATGGTGCTATGAACACTCATGGACAAGTTTTTGTGTGGCCTTATGTTTTTATTTCTCTTGGTTACATCATGAAAGCTTTAAGCTAACAAATTCAAGAATGAGTGGTCAAGAGCACTAACTTTGGACTCAGATCAACGGGGATTAAAATCATGGTTCTGCCACTCTCTAGTTTTGTAACCTTGAAATAGTTACTTAATCTTTCAGAAATTAGGGTTCTTCATCTGTACACTTTGGAGCAGCAGTATTTATTTTGCAGAATTTTTGTGAGGCATGCAGTATAGGAAACATTGAGCATATAATTGACATTCTTCAAATAGCAG